TTGAACCCACAATAGGCCAGACCACCTGCAGATGGGACTGGGAATCGCCGACGCCGACTACCAATATGCGGATCCTCTCGCCAAGCGCCTACACCAGCCTCACAAGCGCAAGCTGAGGTTGGATCAGTCTTACTGCGACTTCATCATCCAGACCTTCATCAACCTGCTGGCCCACGTGCATCACTGTGAGTCTCTCCCAGCACAGGCCTTCACCAGCCACGCCGTCGCGATTGGCAAGAACGGAAAAAGGCCTACAGGCATCGCTACCACGGACATTCATTCATGCGTTCGACTGTTACATTGTTTTGATCATTTTTGGCGACTGTATCTCCGTGTCGGCCTCGTCCAGTGCGTGGCGCCAAACTCACCACCACCGTGGGCATACGGAGGCATCTACTCCCGTCGGCGCGAGTCTCTGATGTTGGTGGCCAAATTGTTGATATGGAAACTGAGAGCTGCGAATCTATCTTGTTGGGTCAAATCGTACGACGTGCGCAACGCTTCCGCGACAGGCTGCCACCAGAGGCTCATGGCTGCACACACTGTTCGATGCGACGACGAACATTGTCATCCCCTCCTCGAGAAGCACCGCGCCAACGCTGTAGTGTACCTTCAGGCTTCTGATGCTAGCCTTGCCCTCCGGCCAGGAACGGGAGGGAGGATGAGAGATACTAACAAACTTGAGTGGTTCGTGCGCTCTTTTTACCCACTGGTTTCAATATGGTGTTCAGACATGGCCGAAGTACAAGGTACCCACTCGTTTCAAAATGGTGCTCAGACATGGCCGAAGTACAAGGAAACCCGTTTCAAGTAGTATGCCCGTTCTCAGCCGAGCAGCACGACGCGCACATCGGCGCGTTCATAGACGACCTATTTGATATAATCCTGGTCCCCGACGGCTCGGTCCTCCAGGCCCTCCAGTTAGATACGATCGACGACAACTTGCTCTCCCAGGCCCTGGACATCGGTGGCTACGCCCAGAACATAGGTAAGCAGGATAGATTGGTATCTCTGGGAACCCGTGGGGCCACCAAGGAGGTAGAACACAACATATCTGGGAACGCGGTGCAGGATCTGATACATCTTGGGGGATGTGCACATGTCGCTAACTGCAATCGTCGTGAAATTGAAGCTCGAGTTCAGTCTGGGAAAGTTGGGTGGACTCGTCCTGGCGATTACTGGTTCTCGGGAGGCCCCGGGAAGGCCAAGCGTCTGCCGTTCCTGTCCAACGTCGCGGGGCGCATCTGGTCAGGGCTCGAAAGCTACACACTTAGTCCTCGGGGACATCACCGACTAGACAGCACTATCGCACGAAAGCTATGAGCAATGATGAGGAGGCCGCACATCAAGTTGACGACCAGAACACAAATCATTTCATCACTGCCCTGCAGGTGTTGAAAAAGATGCAGATTGCACCTTCGGCAGTACAATTACTCGTGCGCAGGCTGAGCTGGTGGCAGAGCATCGTGAGCACGCCTACCCATCACGGCCACTTTCTGGCTAGCTTTTTTCGGACGGTGCAGGTTCGAGCAGCAGGCGGCCATAAGCAACCGCCCAGTCAGTGGAGCTACCCTCAACTCGCAGGGCGCTTTCTGGGCTGACTCGAACATCCACCCGTGGGCTGAGCAGCTTGCGGATGATCGTTCGTGCCTGGCCTCGCATCCCATCGGCGAGAATCTCTCCAGGAGACATGGCAGCCGCCCGTCGTAAAAAGTCTGCGGGAGGACGAGTGTGTGCGAGACGCTTTCCTGCATTGTGACGTGCGCGCTCTGCGGTCCTCCTTTTGGATGTCTCGGTGGGCCCTCCGGGAGCCAGTACGCTCGCCTGCTCCCTCCCCTCGGCAGACTCCCTCGACAAGATCGATAGCGACGACGAGGCAAATGGGCCATTCGTGTGCAGTGTCGAGTCTTGTGGGCAGCGGTTCGGGACCATAAAGCAGCTAGTTACACATCAGACCGCATCGAGGGCGAAGGGACACGGACTACCATCGTTGCTAACTGCACTCCAGCTGGACAATAAATGCATAGTCTGTCAAACTACATTCCTAACACAGAACATGCAATACGACACATACGACGATCATGGCTAGCAGGCAGGTGCATACCGGAACTCACTCATCATGCAGATCCATGGGTGTCAGCTACATACACTACATGTCCACTGCGCGAGTATGATCTTGATCACGCATGTCATCATGAATACCATGACCAGCACAGACTACGAACCCACATACTTGTACATCTCCTATCGCCGCCACCGGCTTCGCTGCTCAGGCGAGTTTGGGCCAGGACCGAAGCACGCCCGACAAGGTCAGGCACCACACCGCCTCCGCTGCCGCACGTTCTCCGCAACGTTTGTACTCGGCGGCCTCGGCGCATTGAGGCTACACCTGGCACTCGAGCTGCACTTAGACGATCAGCAGGCCTCATCCTTGGCTCTCAGATTCCAGCGCCAGGAGTGCCGCGGAGTATCAGGAGCCAGGAGCAGGACACAACCAGCAGCAGCGACATCATCGGCACCATCAGCGATCCTGAGGGCAACATTCGCAGCATCGACTCCCACCCTGCCGCCACTTCCGTCTCCAGATCAGGGCGGACAAGGAGGCAGTGGAGGCGGGCGAGGCACCGCCCCCGCGGCCGAAAGCGGACTGGCGCATCCCCCTGGCCTCCTCACGGGGCTCAGGAGCGCACCCACGCCAGAGGGCGGAGCGCCAGCAGCTGCGAAGCCCCGCCTTGCCCGCCCGCCGCAGCCACGACCGGACGGAGCAGCCCAGCCCCTCCACGTGGGCGCGCGGGAGCCTCGCAGGAAGGCTCGGCGAGGCGGCCGCAGGGCGAGGCGCAGGGACCACGGCGAGAAGACGTGGAGCAGCGAAGACAAGAGCCTGCTGTCCCTCCTGCGGTCGGTCTTGAAACTGTTCCTGCAAACCTCGCACAAGACCCGCCTCAACAGCAGCATGAGCATCGACACGTACACGATGAACCGCAAGCACCCCGTCACCGACGCCATCTCTCTCGTGCTCGCGGGCTGCAAGAACACGCTCGACGAGCTGCGCAGGAACAGCGACCCCACGGACAAGGCAGAGGCTGAAGGAGATCGGGTCGCCGGCTACGTCATTGGGTCTCGCCACGCTCGAGGCGCTCCAGAAGTGCGACATCGGAGCGCCAGCTGAAGACGGAGATCGGCGTACTTGGAGCAGGCGCAGCCCGCTGACGAGGAGAAGCTCGAGGTCGAGGTTTCGAAGGACGACTTGCAGCTCGCCATCAGCTTCATCAGGCTGGAGAGCTGCTTCGACACAGAGAAGATGAAGCTCGTAACCGGGGCCCCATCATGGGAAGGCCGCTCGCTCATCCAGCGGGCGCTGGCGTCGGAGGGGAAGTCGGTCCACCGCCGTAGAGTGGCGCCAGAGGGGTGGCTCGAGGAGGAGGTGGCTCGCTGGCTGGAGACGCTAGAACAGTGAGAGCAGTCAAGTTCGTTCGCGGTGAGCCCTCCCTGCCAGCAGCAGCAACGTCGGCATCACGCATGCACCCACGGCCTACACGCCTGTGCCTCAGGCTCTGCCAGCGCAGGGCGAGGACAAGTTTCGTCAATTCGAGGAGGCCCCGATCGGTGAGTATTATCATGACACAGCCGCTGAGGATGAGGTCTCAGCATGGATAGCCATCATCATCGCCCGACCGTCCGAGGCAGCACAGTGCAGCCCCCCTGTGCCAGCACCCTCCAGACGTGGCTCCGCGCGGGGCATCTCGAGAACCCAGGCTCTCTGCGACGGACCACATGTTGTTTCTGTAAACCTGTGCAGCCTCCAGCTTGGTCCTGACGCCGGGGAAAAAATAGCATCATGTTCTACATCATCATGATCATCATCATCATCATCATCATCATCATCATCATCATCATCATCATCAGCAGCAGCAGCAGCAGCAGCAGCAGCAGCAGTAGCACCATCATCAGCATCAGCAGCATCATCAGCATCAGCATCAGCATCAGCAGCAGCATCATCAGCAGCATCATCAGCATCAGCATCATCAGCATCAGCATCAGAAGCATCATCATAATCAGCATCATCATAATCATCATCCCCATCATCAGCATCAGCATACTCATCATCATCAGCATCATCAACAGCATCAGCAGCCTCATCATCACCATAATTAGCATCAGTATCATCATCATTGAAATCATCATCGCCCTTATCATAATCGTCATCAGATGTCATCAGCAGCAGCTGCAGTACCATCAACAGCATCGTCATCATCACAACCACTACCATCATCAGTATAATCATCATCAACAGCAGCATCAGCAGCATCATCCCTCCCGTCCTCTTCGAGCTTCGAGCTGCGCGCAGTGTCGAGCGATCGCCCCGATGCCCTCGATAACCCTTCTCCCAGCCTGTGCTGGGGAGGGCAGCACAAAACCAAGAGGAAAGAAGAGAGAAAGAAGAGAGAGAGAGAGAGAGAGAAAGAAAGAAAGAAAGAAAGAGAGAAACAACCACAAAAAACTGCCCACGAAGGATTGTGATGCACCCTGGGAGGAGGAGGTGAGGAGCAAGTGGTCCATGCTCCCATTCGGACGGCCCACAGCGTGAGCATTTGTGAACTGACGCCCTCGCACCAACCGAAGCACACCATCCAGCTGTACGTCTTCGCATGCGCCTCTGGAGAGGGAGGGAACGAGGAGGGGGAAGGAGCTGTGGCGCCCGTATCTGCCGGCGCTGTGCCCCGTCCTCCTCCCCCCTCCTCCTCCGGCCCTCCGACGACCAGACGTCTCTTCGAGTCACTGGCGCCCTGGCCGCTCGACCCCTCCTCCACGGCCAGGTCTTCCTCCCGACGTCGTCTCTCGACCGCCCTGGGGCCCAGAGGGCGGCCCCCAGGCGCCAGAGGCTGCGGGAAAGAGCACGAGGCGGGCATGTCGAATTGCAATGAGGTCGGGATCCTCCTCCCCCTTCCCCCTCTCGCCCCTTTCCCCCTGTCGTCTCCCCAGCAGCAGGCGCACGGCGCCTCGGAATGATGGTACCAGGGTCAGTGGTCATGGCCTGCACTCCCCTCCGCGCCGGTGGCAGGCGGTGCTTCGCGGCGGAGCACACCCTTCCTTTCCTCCTCCTCCTCCTCTCTCCTCCTCCTCCTCCTCCTCCTCCTCCTCCTCCTCCTCCTCCTCCTCCCTCCTCCTCCCCATCATCTTCCTCACCCTCCTCCCAACTCTTGCTACAGGTCAAACCCTCTGATCCTCATGCAGACTAGCCTCTTCCTCGTTGTCATCATCTTCACCACCAATACCATCGTCATCGTCATCGTCATCCTCATCATCATCAGCATCATCATCATCCATCATCATCATCATCATCATCATCATCATCATCATCATCATCATCATCATCATCATCATCATCATCATCATCATCATCATCATCATCATCATCATCATCATCATCATCATCATCATCCTTGTCATCATCCTTATCATCATCATCATCATCATCATCATCAGCAGCAGCAGCAGCAGCATCATCGTCAGCATCATCAGCAGCAGCAGCCCGTGTGCTCATCCTTCAACTGTGCATCACCGTGCTCCTCATCATCCACCTCCCCGTGCTTCTCCTCCTCCTCCTCATCCTCCTCCTCCTCGCCATCACCACAGTCATTCCTCATCATCATCACCACCACCACCACCATCAGCAGCAGCAGCGTCATCAAAATCCCATTCCTCCCGCTGGCTCTCCGCCTTCTCAAGCTTGAAACAATTTCACCGATGGAGGGCGGATCCTTTTCAAAATGTGGTCATCGCCTTAGCGCGGCACACATTTGTCATAAAGGTTTGCAACTGTTTCACGGATGGAGGGCAGGCCGTTTCCAAATGTGATTCTCGTCTTGGCGCCGCGCACATTCGTCTGTTCAGAATGTGGCTCTCGCCTAAGCGCCGCGCACAATCGCTTTCAACATCTGCAACATGTTCATATATGGAGGGCGATCCTTTTCAAAATGTGACTCTCGCCTTAGCGCCGCGCATAATCAAGAGTATACAACAGTTTCAAGGCTTCCCATGGCTAACGTCCCAAAAACGGTGTTCTGGCACGATGTCGGACTGCCAGGGCACAACAGTTGAGTTGGTTCGTGGTGGAGTACCAGGAATTGTGTTCTGACGCGACTCAGCATCGTCAAGACGCAACAGTAACGGTGATTCGCGGCTTTGAACTCCCAGGAATGGTGTTCTGTCACAGCTCAGAATTTTCAAACGGTTGTCTTCCAGTGGGGCACTTCCTTCAGCGAGAATGAACCCTTGTAGGGGCATGTGAAGAGGGAAGTTAGAGGAAGGTCTCGTTGCATTATCCTTGAGGAGTCTTGGGTTCACACTGGTCCTCCTCCTCCTCATCCTCCTCATCCTCATCCTTCCCCTCCTCCGCCTCATCCTCCTCCTCCTCCTCCTCCTCCTCCTCCTCCTCCTCAGCCCTCCTCCCTCCTCCCCTTCCTCCTCCCTCCTCCTTACTCATCTCTGCAAGGGTGGTCCTCTGTAGGGCACGGTTATCACCGTCTGTGGGACTGCGGAGAGCCGCCAAAGGCCTCCGCGGAAGCCCGAAGACAAATCCAGAGACCACCGTCAGAGGACCTCTGCTGACCTCGGAGGCCACCCGACGTCGCGCTCCGCACCGCCCGCGCCGCGACGCGTGCACACCTGCGAGCTCTCGCGCTGCAAGCCCACCAGGCACGAGGCATGGTTTTCTGATGTCCCCGCGGGTGCCCTGGGGAGTCCTCAGCACCCAGGCCGCATCCTACTCTCCTCATCCTCCCCCTCATCCTCCTCCTCCTCCTCATCATCATCATCATCCGAATCATCATCAGCAGCAGCAGCATCATCAGCATCATCATCATCATCAGCAGCATCGTGCATGCTTTTTCCTTATGAACAGCTCCTCCCTGTCGCACCCCGAGAAGAATCGGAAGGGCCGGCCGGGCGTTTCGCCTGAGACTCCTTACCAGTTAGGCCCCTGAGACTCAAAAACTGGCAACAGTTTCACCGATGGAGGGCAAGCCGTTTTCGAAATGTGGCTCTCGCCTTAGCGGCGCCGCGCACATTCGCTGAAAAAACTTGCAATAGCTTCACGGATTGAGAGCGGTCCATTTTCAAAATGTGGCTCTCGTCTTAGCGCCGCGCTTTGCCAGAGTTTGACGGATTGAGGGCGGTCCATTTTCAAAAAAGAGGCCTTCGCCTGAGCACCGTGCACATTCGTTCAAAAGATTGCAAGAGTTTAACGGATTGAGGGCGGCTCCTTTTCAAAGTGTGGCTATCGACTTAGGGACGCGCACATTCGTTGCAAGTTTGCCCGAGTTCCCATGATTATCATGGTTAACGTACCAGGCTTGGTGTTTGGGGATGATTCCGGATAGTAACGTTGATTCGCGGTGTCGAAATCTCAGGAATGGCATTATGGTAAGATTCAGGATCGTCAAAACGCAACACTCAAGTTGACCCGTGGGGTTGAAGTCATGAGAACGGTGGTTTGGCACGCTTCAGGACCTTCAATATTCGTCTCTCAAGGGAGCAATTCCCTCAGCGGAAATGAACCCGTGTAGGTGCCTGTGAAGAGGGAGCTTGAAGGGAGGGTCTATTTCTTCATATTTGACGAGTCTTAGGTTTACACTGGTCCTCCTCCTCCTCCTCCTCCTCCTCCTCCTCCTCCTCCTCCTCCTCCTCCTCCTCCTCCTCCTCCTCCTCCTCCTCCTCCTCCTCCTCCTCCTCCTCCTCCTCCTCCTCCTCCTCCTCCTCCTCCTCTTCCTCTCCTCCTTTCTCTCCAGGGTGGGAGGAGGCCCGCTGCAACTGCAAATCGCTCAGAGGCTGCCTGGCCAAAGGCTGGCACAATCTGTCCTTCGCCTGCTCGCTGGAACTTGGGCGTGACTCCGTCCACGAAGCACCGCATGTGAGACCACACAGATCATCACCCTCGGCCACACTGGCTCTTCGAGCCCACTGCTCCGGCACGCGGGCCTCCGTCCGTCCTGCACTTTCCCCCCCCCGCATCCTCGCAGCCCTTCGTCCCGCTCGCCCGCCCAACCGCCCAAAAGCAGGGATGGGCATGGTGTCGGACACCCTCTGATCCCTCCCTCGTGAGATCATCCGCTCAGTCCAGCAGGCGGGTCATTGCAGCCTCTTCCCCAGGCGCCTGGACGTGCGAGATAAACGAGAGAGATATAAGACCCTGGTACCTGCGCCCGCTCCGGCGAGGAGTCCCGAGCGGGCGGGGGTTAGCGCCCACCCCCTCCTCGACCCTACGCCTCCTCCACGAAAGAGAGCAGGAAGAAGGCAGAAGGAAGAGAAAGATACGGAAGAGGAAAAGGAAGAGAGAGAGGAGGAGGCGGAGGAGGAGGAGGAGGAGGAGGAGGGGGTGAGGAGGAGGAGGAGCAGGAGCAAGGGAGAGAGGGAGGAGGAGGAGGAGGAGGAGGAGGAGGAGGAGGAGGGAGGAGGAGGAAGAGGGGGGAGGAGAAGGAAGAGGAGGATAACAAAAAAAAGGAGGAGGAAGAGTAGAAGGAGGACGAAGAGGGTGAGGAGGAGGAGGAGGACGAGGAGGAGGAGGGGAAGGAGGAGGAGGAGGAGGAAGAGGAGGAGGAGGAGGAGGAGGGCAACTGGGGTCGGCACCACTGTCCTATCCTCCTGCCTTGCCTCGCCCTCCTCTCCTCATCCTGTCACTCCCACAGGGAAAGCCGCGCCCTGAACCCCCGCCAGGTTGGCGCGGCGGCGCGCGGGCGCGGGGCAGGGGCACAAGAAAAAAACGATGCACCCCGCGTCTGTGTACGGCAGCCATGGTATCCGCGGCTCCGTGGACGCGAAGAGGGTCGCCTGGGGTCGCACCGTTCCGCGCTCCTCGCCGCCGCCAGGCCCTGCCGGTGGCCGATCGCCAGTCGTCGTCGTCGTCGTCGTCGTCGTCGTCGTCGTCGTCGTCGTCGTCGTCGTCGTCGTCGTCGTCGTCATCGTCGTCGTCGTCGTCGTCGTCGTCGTCGTCGTCGTCGTCGTCGTCGTCGTCGTCGTCGTCGTCGTCGTCGTCGTCGTCGTCGTCGTCGTCGTCGTCGTCGTCGTCGTCGTCGTCGTCGTCGTCGTCGTCGTCGTCGTCGTCGTCGTCGTCGTCGTCGTCGTCGTCGTCGTCGTCGTCGTCGTCGTCGTCGTCGTCGTCGTCGTCGTCGTCGTCGTCGTCGTCGTCGTCGTCGTCGTCGTCGTCGTCGTCGTCGTCGTCGTCGTCGTCGTCGTCGTCGTCGTCGTCGTCGTCGTCGTCGTCGTCGTCGTCGTCGTCGTCGTCGTCGTCGTCGTCGTCGTCGTGGTCGTCGCGTTCGTGGTCGTCGTCGTCGTCGTTGCCCTGCTTCTGGCGGCTTGCGCTGCACTGGCGACGACCCGACAGCCTGCGCGGGGGCGCCGCGGAGTGCGACTCCACGGCAGGCTTCCAGAGAGCAGACAGCCGACTCGTCCCTCCTGCGACATTCCTCCTCCTTCTCATCTGCTCCTCTCCTCCTCCTCCTCCTCCTCCTCCTCCTCCTCCTCCTCCTCCTCCTCCTCCGTCTTCTCCTCCTCCTCTTCCTCCTCCTCCTCGTCGTCGTCGTCATCGTCATCGTCATCGCCATAATCAACAGCAATCACGAACAGCAATCATCATTGTCAGAATACTCGCTCTTCACTGCTCACGCGTCGCTCAACATGATCTACCCCCAACCCTTGATTCCCACCCTCCTCGTTGTAAACGGCCCCTCCCTTGGGGGGGAATTGGAGGGGGCTGTTTCTTGTCGTGCCAGCTCCTGGTTGAGCCCCAGGGGTCGTGCGGGCGGACCCTGGCGGGCGGGTCAGGCGGGCGATCCCCAGCGGACGGGACGGGTGGGCCATTCAGGCAGGCTGCCGGGCTTCCAGGCAGGCGAACGGGCGGGCCCCAGCGCGGGCGGGCAGATCCTGCGAGGGTGGGCGGGGCCCAACGGGTGGGTCGGGCAGGCGGGCCCTGCCGGGCGGGGCGGGCGGATGGACCCAGACGGGAGGGCCGGGCGGGCGGGACAGAAAAGACGGCGGGCGGCGAGAAGTCTCGTGCGAGGGCGAGATCCTTGAGCAAATTGGAAGAAAGTTCCTGCACAGCGCAATGCTTGGTGCCTTGCAAAAATGTCTCAAGCGAGACTCGCCAGCCCCCCCTGGGGGGCTCCAGGCTTTGAAGCTGTCTGCTGAACTGCTGTCGTGCGTGTTCTGCGTGTTGTCTTTTGTATTTTGTGGTGTTTTATGGTTGGCCTCTCCAGTCAAGCATCCGTTTCAATGTATACTCAGGGCCATGACCAGTAAGAAAAGCAGCCCAGGGAGAGCGGGGCCCTCAAAGTTCTGGCCCGTCTAGGTCGCCCGAAGATTCCCTGCGGGCGCCACCGCACGGCCAAGACGGCCAAAAAGTCAGATGAATGCTGAGGAAAAATCAGGCGAGGCACGATCCCTCGCCCGAGCAGCGGTGCCCCGGCGAGGCCCTACGGACAGCAAGACCCAGCTCGCCACCCTTTGCCTTCTGACTGCTTCAAAGTTTCTTCAGACACCGTCGACTGCCGTAGAATGACACCCAGATCACCGGCCCATCGGATTATCAGAGCGCCGCCACCTGAACCGTCGGTCCCCCGCCCCACTCCCAGGGGCCGAATCCTCACCTGGCAGTCGCCGTCCGCGGCATCCCTCCTGTTGCGCGCTGCTGCTGCGCTGCGCGCTGCTGCTGGCTTGCCGGGGGCGGGCGGGGCCAGCGTGTGCTTGCAGACGACCCAGTCCGTGAATCCGAGGAGCAACTGCGGGCGCGCGCGGCACGAGCACGCCAAGGAGAAGAGCAGGGCCGCACGGATGCGGGAGAGCAGGCCGGCACGAGAGAGGGCGAGAGGGCCCGCACCTCGGAGGGGCGGGCCCGCGGCGCCTGGACCTGGCTTCCGGCAGAAGCTCTGCCGACCCGCTCCTCCACGGCTCGACGAGGACACTCTGCAGCCACGACACAGACGAGCCCTGAGAGTCGCTCTGCGAGGCAGCAGGTTGCCGACGACGCCACGTGCGAGGGTGGCTCCGCTCCCGCGCCGGCGGTGGGGGCCGCGGGCGTCCAGACGGGAGCGGCAAGACTCGCAAGCGCGACGGGGCAAATGTTAGGTCGGGCATGTCCTCCTACAGGCGGGTTTTGGAAGAGAAACGAACTGCTCCGAAGGTAGGACACCACATGAGAAGATGTTTAAATTGCCTAGGGATTTCCTCCTGCCCCCTCCCTTCTCCCACCTACTCCTGCCTCCGCCGTCTCCTCCTACCTGCTCCTCCTCCTGCCTCAACCCCTGCATCCTCATCCCCTTGCCTCCTCCACCACCTCGTCCTCCTCCTTTTCCTCCTCCTCCTTCTCCTTTTCCCTGTCCGTCTCCCTCCTCTTCCTCCTCCTCCTCCTCCTCCTCCTCCTCCTCCTCCTCCTCTTCCTGCTCCTCCTCCTCCCCCTCCTCCTCTTCTTCGTGCGGAATACGACCTAGAGGAAACGCACGACGTGCGTCCCAGCGGCTACGCGCCAGAGGACGACCCAGAGGAAGCGCGCGCCGAAGAACGACCCCGAGAAAGCACGTGAAGTGCGGGCCCCATAGGGAAGGGACTCCCACTTGAGACTTCCTCGCAATTCACCCAAAGACGAAGCTCCCGCCTCATACTTCCCAGATATTCAGGCCGCAGGAGCCCAAAAAAGACGACAAATACAAGGTTCCGATGACCCGCTCGGATTAATCACATGATCTGCGGGCCACATAGGGAGGAGGCTCCCGCCTGAGACTTCCTCGCAGTTCACTCACACGCGAGGTTCCCGCCTGACTTTTCCCCCATATGCAGGCCCCACGAGCCCAAAACTGACGACAGCAACAAGGTTTCGATGACCCGCTCGGATTAATAACATGACCTGCGGACCACATAAACAGGATGCTCCCGCCTGACACTTCCCTCATCTTCAAGCCGCAGGAGCCCGAAAATGACGACTGTTACAGGATTATGATGACCCGCCCGGATTAATAACATGACCTGCGGGCCACATAGGAAGGGGGCTCCCGCCTGAGACTTCCTCCCAATTCAGTCACAGACGAAGCTCCCGCCTGACACTTCCCCCATATTCAGGCCTCAGGAACCCAAAAATGACGAGAACTACAGGGTTCCGACGACCCGCTCGGACTAATAACATAAGCTGCGGGCCCCATAAGGAGGGGGCCCCCGCCTGAGACTTCCTCGCAATTCACTCACAAACGAGGCTCCCGCATCAGACTTCCGCCATCCTCAAGCTTGAAGAGCCCAAAAATGCAACAGGTACAGGATTCCGATAACCCGCTCGGATTAATAATGTAAGCTGCGGGACCGATAGGGAGGGGGTCCCGCCTGAGACGTCCCCGCAATTCACCCACAGACGAGGCTCCCGCCTGAGACTTCTGCCACACTCAAGCTTCGACAGTTACAAGACTCCGATGACCCACTCGGATAGGAACATGAGCTGCGGACCCCATAAGGAGGGGGCTCCCGCCTGAGACTTCCTCGCAGTTCACTCACACACGAGGCTCCCGCATCAGACGTCCGCTATACTCAAGCTTGAAGCGGCCAAAAATGCAACAAGTACAGGATTCCGATAACCCGCTCGGATTAATAATGTAAGCTGCGGGCCCCATAGGGAGGGGGTCCCGCCTGAGACTTCCCCGCAATTCACTCACAGACGACGCTCCCGCCTGAGACTTCCGCCACACTCAAGCTTCGACAGTTACAAGACTCCGATGACCCACTCGGATAGGAACATGAGCTGCGGACCCCATAAGGAGGGGGCTCCCGCCTGAGACTTCCTCGCAATTCACTCACACACGAGGCTCCCGCATCAGACGTCCACTATACTCAAGCTTGAAGCGGCCAAAAATACAACAGGTACAGGATTCCGATAACCCGCTCGGATTAATCACATAAGCTGCGGGCCCCATAGGGAGGGGGCCCACCTGAGACTTCCTCGCAGTTCACGCACAAACGAGACTCCCGCCTGAGACTTCCGCCATACTCAAGCTTGAAGAGCCCAAAGTTGTTGACAATTAAGAGATTCCGATGCCCCGCTTGAATTAATAGCATGAGCTGCGGGCCCCATATGGGAGGGGGCTTCTGTCTGAGACTTCCTCGCAATTCACTCACCAACGAAGCTCCCGCCTGAGATTTCTGCCATACTCAAGCTTGAAGAGCCCAAAAGTGACGACAGTTACAAGATTCCGATGACCCACTCGGATAGTAACATGAGCTGCGGGCCCCTTAGGGAGGGGGCTCCCGCCAGAACTTTCCTCGCAATTCACGCACACACGAGGCTCCAGCCTGACACTTCCCCCATACGCAAGCTTGAAGAGCCCAAAAGTGCAACAGGTACAGGATTCGGATAACCCGCTCGGATTAATAACATGAGCTGCGGGCCCCATAGGGGCGGGGCTCCCGCCTAACACATCCTCGCAATTCACTCACAGCCGAAACTCCCGCCTGAGATGAGTGAGTGAGTGAATCAGTGAGTGAGCGAGTGAAGAAAATGATGATGATACTGGTGATGACGATGGTGATGGTGATGGTGATGGTGATGGTGATGGTGATGGTGATGGTGATGGTGATGGTGATGGTGATGGTGATGGTGATGGTGATGGTGATGGTGATGGTGATGGTGATGATGATGATGATGATGATGATGATGACGATGATGATGCTGATGATGCTGATGATGGTGATGATGATGATGATGTTGATGATGATGATGATGGTGGTGGTGGTGATGATGATGATAGTGATGGTGAGAGTGTGTGAGTGAGTGAGTGGGAGGGTAGGTGGGTGGGTGAGTGGGTGCGTGAGTGAGTGGTGATGATGAGCGTGTGTGTGTGTGGGTGAGTGAATGGGTGAATGTGTGTGTGGGTGAGTGAGTGGGTGAGTGAATGAGTGTGAGTGATGATGTGTGTGAGTGATTGAGTGAATGCGTGTGCGATCAGAGAAGAGGAGAGGGTGTGTTCTCTTGTTCCTTCGCGGGGTGCCCAGAGAAAACAAGAACCCCACTTTGGATGTGGGGAAAATAAACAAAAACGAAAAATGAAAATTCAAAACAAAAAAAACTTCCACATACGATTTTAGGACCATGTTTGAACATTCCTCCTGTAGAGGGACATGCCCGACTTGAGACAAGTGGCAGAATGTCAGCAGGGGCGGCAGAGCGAAAAGCGCAGACCGCAAGCAGGTGGGAGCGGCACCCGCCGCAGCCGCCGCATCTGCAACCGCCGCGGCCACAGGCCCCCGCCGCCGTCGCGAGGGCCCCCCGTTCCTTCCGCTCCCTGGCCACAAAGCCTCGTGGCGCCGTCTCCCCACAGACTTGGCCCTATCGATGAACTCCCTCGTGCCCTCCTCCCTCCTGCCTCTTACCTTCCCTCTCCTCCTCGTCCTTCCCCACCACCCCTCTTCCTCATGAATACCTCCTCCCCTGTCGCACCACCAAACCTATCCACCGTAGGCTGGGCTGAGAACTGCGCTGAAACACTCTGGGTGCAAACCAACTCACGATCATTGAATTACAGTTGCACGGATTGAAAGCCGCTCCTTTTCAATACGGAACTCTCGCCTTAACGCCGCGCACGTTGGCTGTAAAAGCTTGCGACAGCTACAAGCATGGAGGTCAGGTGGTTTCAAAGATGAGGCCCTCGCCTCAGCGCCACGCACATTCGTCTGCACAGCCTGCAACAGCTACAAAGGCCAATTCGCTTTCAGGATGGAGGTCGATGATTCCTCACATTCCCGTGGAGGGCTCCTCCTTTTCGAAAAAGGACGCTCGCCCGAAAACTCCGCGAAAGCATGACCAGAACTCGTTGCGTCCTTTCAGCCAGAAGGATCAAGGGCGGATCCTTTAAAAAAACGGCGTCTCGTCTCAACGGCAGGCCAACAGGACGCTCGTCATTCAGAGGGGACAATTTCCCAAGTGGGAAGGAAGAAATGCAAGGATTTGTGAGGAGCGTTGATGCGCCCTGCCTCCCCTCCTCCTCCTCCTCCTCTTCCTCCTCCTCCTCCTCCTCCTCCTCCTCCTCCTCCTCCTCCTCCCCCTCCTCCTCCTCCTCCTCCTCTTGTCCCTCTATCCTCCTCTTCCTGCCCAAGCGCTCGTGCATCGAGATCTTGTGCCGCACCTGCCTGCTGATCATAGCTTGCAATGCTCCTGGGTTTAACTGGTGCTCATTTTACACGAGTCGAACGCTCGACGATTGCATGGCTCGCATCTGACGGCCTGCTCTGGCGGCACATTGCGATGCTGCTGCTGGACTGCTGTATTGCTGCGTTGTTGATGTATCCCGCCTCATCGCCCTCTCCCTATCCCTCTCTCTCCCTCTCTTGTCGTGCCTCCTGTCCCTCGGTTCATCCAGACCTGTCTCCCCTCTGGTTTCTTCAAGAAGGCCCACACGGCCAATAGAAGAGGACATCGGGGGCCCGAAATTCGGGCCGTGGGCCGTCCCAACTTCGCCCCGGGGATTCCCACTGGGACGCCACTAAACAGCCAAAAAGGCCTTCAGGAGGCCTGCAAAAGGCCCCAGGAGCCGAAGACCGCATAAAAGGGCCGAATGATGCCCCCAAGACATCACAAGAACGCCGAATACCCCTTCAAAGAAAACCCAGAGAAAGGCCAGATAATGCCAAGCAAAAAAAACGCTTCAATGGATTTTTCCCCGTCTTTTGATACCCAAAGACGTGCCCAAACATGGCCCAAAGGCGGACCCTGAGGCCCCATGGTTGTCCCGAAATCGGACAAAATGGC